TATATTTCAAGATTGTGATGTATCTAGCTTATAGTTCTTCGAAAACGCAAAAAATTGTGTTTAGCTTTTGTATGTCAAACCTCGCACAAACCATTTGTGAAGAACCAAAAGAGTCAAACTTATTGACCAAGTGTTTCAAAGGAAAAGAAGTAGCGCCAATGTATATCCAACAAAAGAATAAGACGGTGTTTGATAAACAAGAATAATTGTTTCAGTTTTGCAAGTCAAACTAAACTTCTTGTTGAACAACACTGGCTAGTATAGTTTTCATATGTCAAAATTGTATTCAGGTCCAAAAAAACAATAATTATGGAACCCATTCAATAAGCTATTTGTAATAGTCATTTAAAATAAGCATTTTAAGAATTTTTTAAATATAATAATCTCTTTAGGAAATCATTTTTGTTGAAAATAATCACAACCGGTCAAGTCTTTAACATTTGAGATTGTCAAGTCATACGATGCCGTAACAAAATAATCAGGGACAAGGATAAAGTAAACAATTTACAACTATTAAAATTTAAGTTAATTATAGTTTTTTCTAAAAGTTTATCTATTCTAACTATCCAAAGTTAAATGTGTTCTTGGTATTCACTAATGCTTATCCGGTTAAATTGGTTCTTGAGCCGAAATCGCAGCCAAGATAGAGAAGACTATACAAGAAAAAATGAGCTCGTTTTAGACTTTTACAAAAAAGTTATGAGGATCGGTGTAACATCCCAAAATTTAAGACCAAAAATTCCATTTATAATTAATTTATTATAAAACCAGCAGTATAAAAACATCCATAATAACATCTCATGTCAAAACCAAAGTGTCAATAATCAAAACATGTTATCATCAAACAATATCAGAGTGTAATCTCAAAGATCTCATGTGCGGAAAACATAGTGTGATGCACTGCGATCGCCGGCTCATTTTCTTTGAAAACGAAGTACCTGAAACCAAAACTGAAAACCTTAAGCACGAAGCTTAGTGAGTTCCCCAAATATCACATACCATACATATCAACATGATGCCTAGCATTTATGGGTGTTGGCCTGCCCCTTCGGTCTCTTTCAACCGGATACTACCATACATAACTGTGAGCCACACAAAACAATCATATATCATAATCAAATAAAATGCTATGTGCCAAAACATAGTCTTGCCATTATGTCACAGGCCGCCACGTGGTCTTTCTTGCCAAGCCATGGGCTACCCCCTTCTGTCTTACAGACAAGTGTCAAGAGTCACCTCCTGGTCTTCCATGCAAGCATCACAAAAACAACTAGCATACATATTGTTCTACTTAGCTAATCAACATACATTGTGCCAGGATCCACCTCCTGGTCTTTCATACATATTGCCTAAGGCTAACCCCCGGGTCTTCCTACCATACATAATAGCATACAGTGTGTCAGGAGCCGCCTCCTGGTCTTTCATACATAATGCCTAGGGCTAACCCCCGGGTCTTCCTACCATACATAAACTAAATGGGCCAGCATTGGTGCCTTAGACCCATACAAACAGTGAGGAGACTCACCTCGCACTGCTGAAGTCCCGCGAATAAATCCCTGGCTGCTGGCTGACAGATCCCAAAACTGACAATCATCAAAACAACACCCAATTAATAATTGGGTTCCAATGCATAACCATAAGTCCATACTTGGGGTAAAAAGACCATTTTACCCCTAACCTAACTTGGTGCAAAGCCAAGGCCCAAACTTAAACTCTGAGGCCCAAAAGCTAAATAATCAAGCAAGGCCCAATATATGGCCTAATCTTCCAAATTGGGCCCAAACCTCTACATGGACTTATCTGGAGGCCCAACCGTTTATTCTAGTCCAAACAACTGGCATTCTGATGGTCCAATATTTCATAATCATCAAGGCCCAATTATGGCCCACTTATGGCCCAATTTTCCAAATTGGGCCCAAGCCTTTCCAATGGGCCTTATCCTAAAGCCCAATAACTTCCTTAGTCCACAAACTTGTTCCCATTTAGCCCACGAAAGCCCACCACAACCCAATCCAAGAAATGGCCCAACAAGAACTCAAACCCAATTAGGGTTTTTCACATAAAATGATGATTAGGGTTAAGTGTTCCTACTTAATCCATTAAGTCCACCACTCCACTAGTCCAAACATATAATGTAATCGGGCTTGAGTCATAACTTCACTCCAATGGTCCAAAACGCGGGTCCCGATAATTCCAAACTAACATATTCACAAGTAGGGTTTTCTAAACCCTAATTAGGGCTTCTAACCCAACTACATACCAACAAAGTTCCAAATTAGGTTTTTAAACTAATTAGGGTTTCATTAGGTCATTTAGGGTTCCATTAGGCTGGACATCACCCATTGCCACCTCGGGCGGTGGTGGTCGGCGGCAGCTCACGGTGATGGTGATTATGATGTTAGGCCAAAACGCATCAAAATATCCCGAATAACAGTCTAATTCACACCCAAGCGCACACAGCCACCCAAGGTGGCGGCTGGTGGCAGCAGAATGGCGGCGTGAGGTGGCAGCCACCACCTCACGGTGGTGGTGACGAGTTTTTCCGGCCAAAAATCATACATACGACATCATACCCACAAAACCCATACAATACATTCTCACACACACACAAAAACACACACACCACCACCCCTCCGGTGGCTGGTGGCGGCAGAGGGAGTGGCATGGGCGGCAGCCACCATGGTTGGCTGCCATGGTGGTTGTTCGCGTCTTTCGGCCACCTAAACACACTCACACCCGCGACATGGATTGAAACTAACACCCACACGTCGGAATTCACACACCAATGAAGCAGCAACCTCACCGTCGGAGGAAGGCGACGGCCGGAGAACCCACGAACGTGAACAACGAGAAATCGCGGTGGCGGTCCGGTGACAACGCAACAACAGAAGAACGGGGAAGGAAAGGAGGTCGCGACCCCGACTAGCGAACGGTAGCAGCGACAATAACGTTCTTTTTTCAGCCTCTTCTGCCCTGACATCCATCAACCGGCTCGTCAATCCTTCAGTCGTGAGCGGCAACGGTAGTGGCGTGGCTCACGACTTCGACAATGGCTAGGGGCAGTCGATCGGTCTCAACAAGGCGGCGGCTGAGAGGAGAGCACAAGGTGGCGGCGAGTTCGTTTTAGGGTTAGGGTTAGTATGGGTGAGTTTTAAACGGGAAGAAGATACCACGGGTTCAAGTCCAGTACCCATATCAAACTTCTTTCATTGTTTTTCGAGTTCAGCCCCTCCTTCACCAAAACTTTTCAAATTAAATCCAAAACTTACCCTTTAGCCCCTGCCTCCATAAAATTTGTTCAACTTTAATCCAAGAGTTACCATTCAGCCCCTCTCTTCAAAAAATCTTTTTTTCAATTTAAGTCCAGAATTTACCAAACAACCCTCAACCTCCAAAATTCTTTACAAACTAATCCGGAAATTACATTTTAACCCCAAACTCTCAATTATGACTTTTTAACCCCCAAAACCAACGCCTTGCTAAATATTATGGGCTTTAGGACTACAATTCATTTATTAATCTTTATCTATTTATTTATTTAATAAACGGGATGTTACAATCGGCATACAGTAAAAACCAATTAAAAGAAAAGGTGAAACGAGCCCAACACCACATGGTTGAGGCATTGTAACTCGGTCAATACTTATCCACTAAGTTGATTCTTGAGCCTAACTTGTAACCAAGACTAGAAAGAGAATAATATGAAGAAAAAAACCAGCTCATTCCGAGCTTTTTCAAAAAAGTTATGAGGGTTGGAATATAAACATATATGGTACCAATATTAGTACTGATTTTTACCCGGAACCACAACACCGAAAACCGCAGCACCAATAACCAAATTTAAGGATTTATTGTTGCAAGTACTTAACGGGATGAACATATTTGATATTGCTTCAATACTGGTACAGTTTGGTTCAGTAGCCATAGTATTTGCTCTCACCTATGGTTGGGGATAAAGCCTTTCAAATCTAATATCAATAATTATCAAGAATAATTCAATGATTTCAAATAAGTAACACATATACTTTTAATCCAAAATCCCAAGTCAATCTCAAACTACAACACCTCACTCATCCCTAAGATGAGAATTAGTCTGTGTAAAAGTAGCACAAAACACATTCTACGCCTATGGACTCCAAACAATAGGAGCATATACCCATCATACATTATCTACACAAGATGGTAGCTAACCTCGAGTGCAAGTGAGGTGTCTAGAATTCCATCATAGATTTATAAACCCCAAATCATACAAGCATCGACTTGCCCAAACGTAGGTACCATGACCCTAAACCATACAAGCATAGACTAGCCCAAGCGTAAGTATAATAACGTTTGGTCTAAAATGCTTGGACCATACAAAACTCAAGCCATCCTAAGTGGATGCACAATTTCATGCTCAAATCATTTTCAAAATAATCAAAGAAATCCCATTTGAATCAAAGCTCTTTCCAAAATTACTTTTTATAAATGTTGATTAACATAACATAGCTATAGGTTAGGCTATAAGGAGTGCTTTGGAGATTCTTACGCATATATCTCACCATAGAGATGGCCACATCATCCAAACAACCTCCCACATGATTCTCACCAAGATTAAGAAATGGTGTGTAGTAGTAAGGAAGTAGCGAGTTTAGAGAGGAAAAAAAACAGGGGGAAGAAGAGAGAGATAGAGAGAAGGAAAGAGATTGTGATTTGCAAAGGATAGTAGTCTCACTCACGGAGCATCACAATTCAGAAGGTTGGTGGTGGTGTTTGGATGCAAGTCACGCATGACTTGGCTACCTTACGCATGAAAAATCTATACTCCATATAGCCTTATCAAAGAGAAATAGCAATTTAAAATCATCAGTGTTATAAGAATATGAATTAATATTTATTTATTTTAGTTTATTTATTTATAGTAAAGTAATTAAATTATTTGTATTTTATTTAAGTTTTTAAAAATTTATTTTACTAAAATTTATAAAAGTTCTAGCCCAAATGCGAGTGTTGCAGAATTAGTGTATGAGGACAAGCATTTAATGCATCACATCTTCTGTACAGACAAAGAGCATGCATGAATGGTAAAAACAAGCAAAATAGTTGATACTTTCAAGTGTAGAATACATATTTTTCTCGATAAAGACAAAATATTTTTCACCAAAAGTATAGTTTGAACAATAATGTTCCCCGCATCGATTTCTAAACGGGTATAATAACCCATGCATGCTTAGATGCTCGAGCATCGATCTTCATAGAATATTTTGCATCTTGTATTGTCATCTGCGTAGTATGTATAAATTAGAGTCATTTTTCTATATGGGGATTCTTTTTGTTAGATCTGATCAAGTTAACCATCGCGTGTGTTGGGTGATTAACAAAAAGAGTGTTTACTTTTCATATCGCCTTGTCATATTGAATGTGCCTTGAATAAAAATCAAATTTGGCTTATTATTTAATGAGATTATTCAAACTATGTTAGCACATCATTGTCAAATCAAGCATACCAAACAAGTCACATTAATATGCACTAATAACTTTTCTTCTTATAATATGATAATCTAGAAGTACCCAAAATACATAACTTAAGACATCATCACGACATAACTATATCTTTTTGACGCAAAATTAACTCTTATATTTGTAATAAAAGACCAAAATCATACCAAGATTCAAAAATCTAAAACATCCCAAAAAACTCAAATCATTCCAGATTTTGTCAATTTTTACCATTCTTGGACACTAAATCATGAGACACAAAATTCTCTGAAACCTGATATTCGGAGATTATGGACCAAAGGCTATTTCTGACATTTTACTTTTAAATTCAACTCTCTTTGTTTACCTTGTTTGAGCCGTTGTCCACCCACCTTGAAGCAAAAGCACAAATATGAAAATACCAGTCAAAATTATTGTATCTTGAAAAGATTCTTCAGTTTCACAACCAGCCTCCATTCTTCATTCGACAACTCATCCTGTAAAAACACACAGATTTAAAGTCAACAAATATTCTGTATGTGATAATGTGAAATTACTAACTATGAGAAAATTTAACATTTTAATTTTTTTATTTTACATACCCGATAATTGGCTTTTAGTATATCAATGGAGTTCCTTGAGATATGGCTGACAAGTTCATCCTCCATTTCAAAATGCCTCCCAAACATTTTTTGTTGCTCTTCAGCATTGCTTCCGGTTATCTGCCAATTTAAAAGTAAGATATTAAATTTTCTCATTTTTTTAATAAACGAGACATTTAAAAAGGAAAGATGCATACCTTGATAGCCACCTTTGATCCTTTTTTGGCGATATCGACTGGCTTGTGATTATTCTCAATGGAAGAAATCCGTCCAATATCAATAAATTCCCTTTGAGGAATACATATTGGAGTTCCAATCTGCACACACATAACATTATTGCTTTTCTACTTTGAAAAATCTACTCAATCATAGCAGAGCAACAGAAATTACCTTAGCAATGCCCTCAAGAACATCGACACCCAGAATAATGGGATCCTTCTTGTTGAACACACAATTGGGCATGATTTTAAGAACACATGGAAACACAGCATCTTCAGCAGCTTCTTTCTTCTTTTCTTCTTTAAGATTATCAATATACGCCTTGAATTGATCAAACAGATGGTAAATGATATCAGCTAGAAATATCTTCACCCCAAGGTCGTCTGCAAGCTCACGTGCCTCTGGGGTCACTTTGACATCGAAAGCCAGGATTGTTGCATACTCTTTTCTCTTTTCCAACATGACACTCGCCTTCATGACATCTTTCTTGTGAACAGGGCCTATGCCTATACCACTAACAGGTATGTTTACAGCTGGAGTCTTTAAGAACTCCAATAATGCCTCCAGTGATCCAAGAGTAGATGCTTGTACATAAACTCCTTCACCACTTTTATCAATTCTGCTCATTACATTTCTCATGTCGTCCATCACGGATTCCTTGATTTCATCCACGTCATCATCGGGTCCCACCACGTATAGGGCTGTCCCAGCCACTGCATGCTCAAGATTCTGCAATTAAAACAAGTTGAACAGAGTTAGGGGCCGGTGTTTGGTTCAAAGAATATCTATCAAAGGAATTAGGGTTTGCTTGGTATGATGGAATGGAATCACAAAGGAATGGAAAGAGCAATGTAATGGAATGGATTATCGCATTCCACTATCATGTTTGGTGGGCATAGAAGAATGGAATGAGTCTTTCGAACATGTTATGTACAGTTACAAAATTAAATCGATAAATAAAGAATAAAATGTTATTTATAATAATAAACTTTAATCAAATAGAGATACATTGCAATGAATTGCTTATAAGAATATTCATATGTTTGAAATATATACTATTTGTATTTCAAATTGTCCAAAAAAGTTATTTAATTGCACTAACAAAAAAAAATACAAAGATAAAATATCAAAAGTAAATTAAATTTCAAAATAGAATTACAATCAAAAAATACTTTGTTATTTTTAGGAAATAACAAAGAGTAATTTCATTAACGTTTTGACATTTTTTAAAAGTATAAACTAAGTTATAGTTACAATATAGCATTCCATTCTATCAAATAATGATATTTTTTATTAAACAAAAAAGAACCCCCTCCCCCATGGATTGAAAATCAGCCCATGAGAAGGCATTACATTCTATAAGGAATGTTCATTTCCATTCCAATGTGGCAAACAAACAGAATTTTTTTTTATTCACCCAACACTTTAGAACCTGAAGGAATTGTATTCTATAATGTGTTTAGTTGACAGAAAGTTGAATGGAAATCAATCACATTCCTTTGCTATATTTTGATTGGCTTGTAAAGTTATCAAATAATTGGAATGTATATTATGTTGAAGTAACAATGTGTTTTTGTTTTAATCAGTTTATGATGACAATTTTGTCTTTTGGCAACCAAACACACCAGAGAATGGAATTCAAGATTCCAATTCCAGATCCATTCTAAACACGCTCTTATGTTACCTGACCTACCAAGAATCTGGTGGTCACTGATAATGATTGAATGGAATCAAATTAAAACTTTGGTATGACCATGTTTCTCAAAAGAAGAAAGAAACATGGCATCTATTGTAGTCAGTTCAAAAGATTTCTCAGTTATCTAATTGATGAAACAAGTTGCAAACTAGCATCACCTGGGCAGTAATTTTGATCCCTTGTGCAGCCTTGATTTCTTTATGGTGAATGTAGGCTCCCTGAATCAAACAACAAACAAACTCATAAAGACTGGAGATAGCTCACGAATTTGAAAATGAACATATGTCAATTTTAAAAAGCCCAAAAAGGTTTAAACAGATCCCTCACCTTTACACGGAGTTCCTTCATTGGATGAGGAGTCAACAATGATCGGATTGTTGTATGAATTGGTCCCTGCACATGAAATTTGTTAAACAAGAAAATAGCATCATTCGTTCATATATTTATTAATTATAGCATACAAACAGAAAGTAACTCGAATGTACCAACAAAGTGTTTTGCACTTGCCTGAAAGCCACAAACAACAATCTCATCTCCTTCATGAAGCACCCCATTAACCAAAACCACATCAATGGTTGTTCCAAGGCCTTCTATCACTTTAACCTCCAGCACCGTACACTAACAAAAATTCATTCCAAGAATCAGTGATCAGAACTCTCATAGAAAAGGAAAAAAAAAAAAGGTGAATTGGAAAAAGAAGATATAATAAATATACCTGAATATCACTGCTGTATGTAAGTTTTTCAATCATTGTCTTCTGAGCCCATTGAACAAGTAGTAACAACATCTCAGGTATGCCTTCACCACTGTTTTGCCCCAAAAAGCAAAGATTTGGTTCAAAGTTCAAAACCCAGTATTCAAATGGTGTGTGAACAGCAGATCACATAAAAAAACTACCTGATAGCACTTGTGGGTACAATACTATAAGTTTCTCCTCTGTCTTTGTTCTTGCTGTACAATTCGGTATTCAATCCTTGCTCCTTGAATTCTGTAATTATCTGAAGTCACAAAGCACAAATCATGAGAAAGCCAGCAAGAAAAGAAAACAGATGTTCTTGTGGGATTACAAATTTACAATTACCTGAGTGAGCCTATGCTCAAATTCAAGTTGAACATCTTTGGACTGAAGTTTCATTGCTTTCCCAATTGGTGCATTGCGACATGTTTTCCAACCATATAATCTGTCAACCTTATTCAAGGCCACGATGAACTCTGTATTCCTCATTCTCAACAGATTTAGTGATTCAATAGTCTGTGGTTCCAATCCATGCATAATGTCAACAACCAAAATGGCAATATCACATAACCCAGAACCCCGAGACCTTAAGTTCTTGAAGGACTCATGGCCAGGTGTATCAATAACTAATAAACCAGGGACATTGAGTATTGCATCAGCTTTCAATTCTTTTGTTCTCTCACGAATGTTCTCAGCTGGAATGTAAGTGGCACCAATTTGTTGGGTGATTCCTCCAGCTTCACCTTCTTGAACATTAGTCCTTCGAATACAATCAAGCAACTTGGTTTTCCCAGTATCAACATGACCCATAATGCAGCATATTGGGGACCGAAGCGTCTTTTCACCATCTTCTTCTTCCTTCTTCTCTTCCTTTTTACCCTTACCTTTGTTTGCAACAACTGTTGCAGGTTGAGTTTCCTTACTATCGTGATTTTGATGCATTTCTTTGGGTACATTAGTTGCCCCTGAATCATTACTACTCTTAATCTCCTTTTTAACTATGGGTGCAGATTCAGGTTTAGGTTGAGGTGCAGTGGATTCCTCCTCATCAGCAAATGCACTTATACCTGGCAATTTGAGATCAGCATCATCCCAACTCTTTGCATCCCATTCATCATCATCTTCTTCTTCTTCTTCTTCTTTGTTCCCATTCTCTTCAACTGACTGAGCTTCTATCTTTTCCATTTCCATGTCATCAGACTTCTCTACTTCCACGTCATCAACCTTCTCTGCTTCCGTGACTTCATTAGCATTGGTGGAAGGACCTTTGCCATTTGCATGTGGCTTTGATTTTTTTGTTTGGTATTTGGGTCGTTTTGTTGGTGCAGATACAGGCAAACCACCAGCATTTGCTAGTATTTGATTCCTCATTGCCTCCAATCTTCGGGCTTCTTCCTTCTGTTTTGCTGTCAAAAGTTTTCCTTCTTGTTTCTTCTTCAACATTTTTTCCTTTTCTCTTTCCTTCTTCAAACGTTTTTTCTCTTCGGCAATCCTTTCAAGTTCTTCTTGTTTTAAACGCTCCTCTTCTTCTTTCCTTAGCTTCTCCTCTTCTTCTCTTTTCTTTTTTTCCTCGGCTTCTTTAAGCCTTGCAAGTCTTTCTTGCATCTCTCTAACATGTTTTGGAACCTTCTTATCAGGTACTTTACTCTTTGATTCAGCTTGTTTTTCCTCCACAACTGGGGCTGCAGCTGTCTTTAACCCTGCAGCTTTCTTTTCTTTTTCCTTTTCTTTCTTCTTTTTCTTTTTTTTAGCAGCTGCAGACTCTACAGCCTCTTCATTCGTATCCTTTTCACCACCTTCATCTGCTGGTTCTGCCTCAGGTTGAGCCTTCTCCTCCTGTGGTTGTTCTACAGTGGCAGAAGGTGGGGGAGGGGCAGAGGCAGGGGCAGAAGTTTCACCAAGTTCAGCAAGAATTCTGTCCAGGTCATCTTCTTCCTGAGCTGTTCTTCCACCTTTCTTTTTCTTCTTTTTGTTTTTGGAAGTTTCTGGTACGACATCAGCTTCTTTGTTAGTAATGCTGGTGCTAGGCTGTTCTTGTTCATCAACTGCATTCACTGTGTTACTGTTTTTCTTCTTGGATGGCTTCTTTTTACCAGAAAACTTTATTGTAGAAGAGTCTTCATCAGTCAACCCTGAAACTGAAACATCTTCATCTGTCCCTCCACCAGCTAATGCAACATCAGGTGGACTGGTTTTCTTCTTTGATGACTTGGTAGACTTCTTCTTACCAGAGAAGGTAATGGGGACATCATCATCCTCATCACTTTCTTTCTCGTTTTCTTCATCTAGCAAATGTGCAGCTGAAAATATACTACCACTGGTTTTCTTATTAGATTTGGATGATTTCTTCTTCCCTGTAAAGGAAATGACTGGCTCGTCTTCATCCTCAGATTGTTGTTTTGATCCTGATTCGTCTAGTAAATCTTCATCATCATCATCATCCCCAATTGCAGCAAATGCAGAACCAGCAAATGAATTACCTCCCTTTTTGGACTTTGATGGCTTCTTCTTTCCAGTAAAGACAAGGCTAGTATCCTCTTCCTCACTGACATCGTCTTCTTCATCCTTTGTTACTTCAGAAGTTTCATCATCTTCATCACCAAGTAATGCAAATGATGTTGAAGCACCAAATGAACTCCCACCTTTTTTCGCTTTGGACTTTGATTTCTTCTTCCCGGTAAATTGACTCTCCTGAGGATTATCACCATCCTCCACATCTTCTTCTTCTTCTTTTATTCGCGAATTCTTACCTTTCTTACCTTTTTTCTTACCAGCAACCGGTGCGACATGCTCTTCTTCCTGAACTGATTTCTCCACGGACACTTCTGTTCCAACAGAATACTCATCATCATCAATTACTACAGCTTTCTTCCTCGACTTGCTCCCAACCGCACCTCCGTCCTCCTCACGAGCTGTCGGCTTCTTTTTCCCCATCAATCTAATATGATGTCGACAAATAAACTACTCCAATCACACCAGTGCAGACTCAAAACACCTTGGGAACCCTAAAAACACAAAAATTTCAACACCAGACTACATCACAAAAAACATACATATTCAAATCCCAATCTACAAGCAACAAATAAACTACAATCAAAAAGCATTTTCAGATTAGTCCGTCCGACATCGAATCAAATCTACAACAAAAGCATGAAAATCGAGTACAGAGTTGTGGTAAAGAATAGACGGTAGCATATATAGATAGATATCTTACTTGCCGATGCGAATTCGTGATAAGTGTATGTATGATGATGAATAATATGGATTGGGAAAACTGTGATTGATACACAGATCAGTTGGAAACGGTGGAAGCAAAAAAAAAATGAATAAAGAACAGGAGAGGAGGTATGGGAGTGACGATGAAACGAAAGAAGGAATTATTTGTGAGGGTGCGTTATATGTGTATTAGGGTTGCAATGAATGGCTGGGTGCGGCTCGGCTCCTAGAGTAAATTTTACAATTCTTTTGGGCTAATATCATAAAAGTCCTTAAGTTTTCAAGAAATTGTGGGTTTTACCCTTTGTTGTCTTTTAGGTTCATTAAAGCCAACTATTTGATTTAATTTTTACATTTATGCCCTTTTAGAGGGTTTCCCGGTTAACTGCCTGTAACACACACAAGTCATCTAACTCATTGCAGTTGAAACCATTGAATCAAACACCAAGTTTTCTTCTTGATTCAAATCTACAAATCGGGAGAGTTTTGTTCTTGATTCAGACATGCAAATATAGACTTAAAGGTAAATCACCATCTCTATTCTTCATAACTAAAGACGCACACAACAACCATCACCACCTGTTCATCGTGCTCTTCATCCCCTGTTCTGTTCATCATTTTTTACAAAAACATCACACCTGAAATCCACCACTTCTACCATCACTGAAATCCACCACAACCACCATATCTACATTGACATGGTCCACCACCACCTCTCCTTTTTTCCCATATCTAAACTCAGCTCTTGTAAAATTTTCCTCCTCATTCAACCCATTCACCATGGTCATCTTGAAAATACAAAGGAACACAAAAATACACATATAAAACACAAATCAGTAGCAAATCATACATTTGTGTGTTGTGTGTGAATTTTAATCACATAGCATATATTGGTGAAGCCCAAAATGGGTGCGTTATCGACGACGAAGAGGTTTGAATCAGACGATGAAGGTGATGAACAAGTGACGCTTGGACTTCAAGGTCTGAATAGGGTGATGAATGGGATAAATAGACGATTAACCCCTTTGCTTTGATTCATGTTTTACTTTTGATGCCGCTTAGGAATCATTCAATTCAATGATGGAACCGATCAGTTTGAGCATGACAGTGGCAGAGAAGCTCCTTATATCAATCTGCAGAATTGGAAGGGAAATATGATGGATGAGATTGATCCGTTGATGGAGGAAGAAAAGCCTGATCAGCCACAAGCCCTAATCTTCAAAAATGTGGATGATGTTGATGGATTCAGGTAAACGGAAGAAAGGGATGTTGAGGTTTGTGTGTATAATGAAGGTGTGAGGACGTGCGTCGACGAGAGGGGGTGGAGCTACGCCGGTGGACCGGCTCTGGTTGTGGATAATATTGATGGCGACTCTAAGGAGGCGGTTTTAGAGGAGCTCCACCAATCTTTCCCTGGGGGAAATATGGGGGCGGGGGTTAAGGTTCGATTCAGAAGGAAGAAGAAGAATGGAAACCAACATGGTTAGATTCATTGCACCATAAGAGAAGAAGAAGAAGGGTGAAAAGAAGAATGATGTATGGGGATGAAGATGACAATGGGTGGAGAGTATAACCAGGTAACCGGTTGTTTACTTGTTAAATGGAGATTTTGACACAATTAATCCAAATATCTGGCTTTAATGAACTTAAAAGACACCAAAGGGTAAAACCCACAATTTCTTGAAAACTCAAGGGCTTTTATGGCATTAGCCCTTTTTTTATTAGACAAACTAGACGAATTCACGCGCGTTGCGCGGTGCAGGTTAAAAATATATTTTTTAGAATATAGTTTTCAGACACCTTTTAGTTAATTCGATTCATTAATTTAGGTTCTTTTATAATTATTATATTTAATGTTTTCCTTTTAACTATGTTAAAAAATATATATTGATTTTTTTTAAACATTATTTGATATTTTACTGTAGATTTTAAATTTCACACTAAAGTTTTACGTTTATTTGATACATTAATGTAGGTTATTTATTTAACTATATATTGAAGTTAACAAATTAAGTATATCATATTGATAAGTCACAAATTCTTCCATTTATGATAATGTTTACAACTAAAAGCGTATTTAAGTTAATAAATTAAGCATATTGTATGGAAATATGAAAAGTTGGGAGTTTCAAATGAATGTGGTGAAAGAAAAAATGTTTCCTTTATAATATAGTATGATATGATATGATATGATGATATGATGATTATAGTTTTAATTTTTAAGTCATTGTGATATATACAATTATTTAATAATTTTATAAACCGTTTAAATTTGTGTAAATTATATATCAAACATATGATAATCTATATATAACGGGTAACAAAATGTATGAACAAAAATATGTACTACAACTTTTAGTAACATAAAAATACAAAAACATCTATTTTAACATTTGTATTAAAAAATATATATATACAACGAATAATAAAAAATATGAAAAATAAACACTATAACTTTTAATAACATAAAAACACTAAAATATTTATTATAACATTTATATTAACTTTTCTTATTTAAATCACAAATCTCTTCAAATACATTAATGTTTTTAATGAGCAAAACTTTACAACCTTATAAAAGAAAGGAAAATAAAAAGTTATTAGTGATTACTAATTAATAATCATAAGTTAAAAAACTCTTGAGTTGTAACTAATAAACATACATAAATCAGAAAACTCTTGAGTTGTAGTGTGAGTTTCAAATGAATACGGTACTTGGAAATGTGTATTTATTATTATTATTATTATTATTATTATTATTATTATTATTATTATTATTATATTCGTCTAAATAATTGGTTTTGATGCATCATTTTAATCCCTTCAATTATTAAACATAAATATATTTAATTATAAATTTATAACATACATAGGTGCATATATATGTTAAACAAATCACATATAATATATATTTTCGTAAATGTCATATGTAATTCTTGTCATAGTAATATGAATAAATTACTTTCATATGAAGAATATATCATGATAAGTCATCATAATTACATATCAAATGTTAAAAATTATGTTATTTTTTAAATATTGTCTTGTAAATATGTTGTGTAGGATAACCCAACAAAAAAATAATAGAAAATAAACATAATCAAAATAGAAAAACTACAATTAAATAAATAAGAACATTGGGTGGTTGAATATATAAATAAACATGTTACATAAATATACGTTTAAATCAAAAGAAAAAACTAATATTCGTCTACTTTGCTCAAACAAAAAAAAACCTATATCCATTTTCTGAATCTTCTTTTTTTATTTAACACCATTCAACCATAGAAACTTGATGACAATTCTTCACTAACCTGCAATCAAAATGTTTTTCATTAAAAAGAAGAATGAGAAAGATATTCCAAGCAAAACATTGATGTTTGGAGAGTCACATTCAAGATTGAGTAATACATACAAATCACATATAAAGATAAAATGAGAAATTAAATATAAAGAAATAATAGAAAAACTTCATTTGTTTTGGTTGAAAGAAAAAATCATATTACAATTATCATCGATGCGACATAACTCATTTCTTCAAATCATCATATATGGATCGTGAATGCTTCAACTATATGAAAACTTTTGAATCATAATATCTTCAACCAAATGACGACTTTTTGTAAGAAAAATGTACTAATATAACTACATATATAATGAAGGTGAAATGGTGTGGGGTTTCAAATGCATGAGGTGTTGAACTTATATAGTGTGTGATTTTCTTAGAATGAGATTATGTGTGATTAATTACTTTGAAGGTGAAAGGGTGTGGAGGTTTCAAATGCATGAGGTGTTGGCAAATTTTTATGGGGGTTTCAAATGCATGAGTTTCAAGAAAAAATGCTAGCTTTATAAGTATGTATGATGTAAAAGTAAAAGTAATTATATTTGACAAATTAAATAATACTATATCCTATGGTTTACCTGATTTAAGTACAACTTATTGAAATTTTTACCCGTTCGGTTTTATGGTTTTTCTTTTTATTTTTGGTCGGACCATATTGCAAAGTCTTTTTTATTTTTTTTTCATTTTATACTATTGTTATTCATAAAAAAATGAAAAAAGAAAATCATGTATTTGTCTTGGTTTGAGTTTGTTCTTCATAAACACTCAAAAACATCTTCATGAACACAATTACACACAACGATCTTTCTTTACGTCATTCCAATCCGTTGAAACAAGTAAACCTTAGTTCACCTGATGGCTCGATTTCTATCGGTCGAACTTGCATATTTCTTTCAGATTCAGCCACCGATTTACCAAATGGCTTCCCTCTTTATTCCCTTCCACTGCTCGCGTTCTTTTCAATTAAGCTAAATATGTATACGTTCACGTAGGAAACCGATCTAGAATGTTTGACCAGTGTTCAATTGTTTGAGGGAAATGTTGGTGTACAGGTGTGTTTATGTAAAACCTTGTTATTAATATCAGTTTGGTGACATGGATGATGTTTATGAAGAGAAAGGGAAAAGGTCACTTTTAGTTGATTGGAGATTGTGTTGTTCCATAAAGATATTACCATAAAGATGTTGAATGAACAACATTTAGGGAAGCATGTAAGACCCTAATTTTGGGAATTACTTCCCTTTCTAAAATGTGAGTTGCATATGATTTCTAAAATGATATCCCTACTTTTTGGTGAAGAGCATGGCTAAGAAACTATGCCTGGAATTTATTTTTATTTTTTTGCAAGTTTGATAGTTGGGTATTGTGTATTTGATGAATATGTTAGAATTTCCATTTTCCAAAAAAAAACATTTATTTCAAATATTAAATACTCCATTTTGATTTCCATTTTCATATATGGGGACTAACTTAGGAAAAAGTCATATTTTGTGTGTGGTTTTGTTTCTAGAGCGGTTTTTTGGGCGAAGGTGGAAGGACAAGGTAAAGGAGGTATGGGCAGAAATGGAAGTGGTTAAAGTTGGTGATGATAAAGGATAATAGTGATAGTCGTTGGTGATGGTGGTTGTAACGTCTCGATTTTCAAAATAAATTTTTCATTTTTACGATAGAACTATTAGATTAATGTGTCTAAACTCATAATTAAATTGGTATCAGTATATAGGGGTGTCGAACGGGTAAAATTTTCGGGTTTCGGGTAGAACGGGTATTTCCTTAAGAAAATAATACCCGATACCCGACCTATATTGTAATTCGGGTTTTCGGGTTTCGGGTATTCGGGTTTGAGGTCGGGTCGGGTAATTATCGGGTATACCCGAAAATTTATTAAATGACACTTATTGATAATTTTTTTTATTTATTTACTTTTACATGTTGGTTGGTTTAATAAAGAATCGGCTAGGAAAATACTCCATACAATTAACAAGTACATATATAATAACAATACAAATCATTATAATATGTTATGTACTTTTTTAATTCCATTCCGTGCAATAGTGAGAAACTAAGAATTGTGATGACGGTTCAGTACTTCAGCTTCAGCGTCGTATTCCCTTTGCAAGTTTGCGTCGACTGTCGAGTCGTCGTTCATAAGAAGGAAACGGAGGGTTTTGTTTTATTTGAAGTGTGCGTACGTGACTGCATTATATATTTGGTATTATTTAAAAAACGAATTCGGGTATACCCGAAAATAAATATTCATACCTAAAACCCGACCTATATTATTATCGGGTTAACCTATTACCCGAATGTTCATACCCGTTACCTGTTTTACCCGACCCGTTCTACCCGAATTCGGAACGGGTCGGGTGGGTAGAACGGGTTTCGGGTTTTTTCGACAGGCCTATCAGTATAAGCAAATACATTTTTAGGTTGTCATCATAA